GCTCTGACCTCTCCGCTCCGTACCCGCCCGGCGCAGCGTCCCCTGACCCGGAAGCGCCCCTCTTCCACTTCCGGGCCGCCGGCCTCCCTAGCAACCGCTGACACTTCCGCCTGGCAACCATGGACGGTAGCGTTTTCTCTCCCCGGCCGCCCCGCTCCCCTCACACGGTGCCCCGCGGACAGGACTGAGGGCTACCCCATAAAGAATCGCACACTCAAGCAGCGCACTGATAATTATGTGCGGTTTCAAGCTGCTGTGTATTTGAATATATATTTGTGTATATATATATGTATTTGAATTTCAGCCAACAGTTGTAACAGTGACACTGGTTGTTTCTTTCTCAACAGATGCTACGGTTTTTAAAGTGTCTTTCATATTCCCAAATAAAGACGAGTATAGTAAGAAAATCTTGGTAGGTGCTAATTCCTTTTGCAAAACTGAGTGTATGGGATTAAAACGGAGGAAATCTATACCAGTTTCAGGGTGAGGGTTACATAAGTGACAAGTGACCCCGAAGCTGCCCAGCTGAGGTGAGGAGGCCCCTCTGGAGATCCCCGTCCCCCTGCACACGCAGGGTCACTGTCCTGGTTTCGGCTGGGATAGAGTTAATTATTATTATTATTATTATTATTATTCTGTCTTTTGGATTTAGGATGAGAACAATGTTGATAACACACCGATGTTTTAGTTGTTGCTACGCAGTACTTACACTAGTCAAGTACTTTTCAGCTTCCCATGCTCTACCACCTGAGAAGGCTGGAGGTGCACAGGAAGCTGGGAGGGGGCACAGCCAGGACAGCTGACCCAAACTGGCCAAAGGGACATTCCATACCATGTGACGTCATGCTCAGTACATAAGCTGGGGGGAGTTGGCCAGGGGGCCACGGCCACTGCTTGGGGACGGGCTGGGCATCGGTCGGCAGGTGGTGAGCAATTTTATTGTGCATCACTTATTTTGTATATTATTATTATTATTATCTCTTCCTTTGCTGTCCTATTAAACTGTCTTTATCTCAACCCACAGGTTTTACTTTTTTTCCCCGACTGTCTCCCCCATCCCACCAGGGCAGGGAAGGGCTGTGTGGTGCTTGGCTGCCGACTGGGCTCAAACCATGACAGTCACCCACGATGGCTGCCCTGGACCGCATCCCATCGGGTCTTGAGTATCTCCATGGACAGAGACTCCACAACCCCTCCGGGCAACCTGTGCCAGGTTGGAGTTTAAAGGAAAAAAATTTACCAGGAAAAATGGACTATTACCCAAGTAACACACTGCTTTGCCTGTGTATGACACCCCACCACCCCCCCCCCGACACACAAAAGCTGCTATGGGGGTGTTTCCTCAGGATCCTCCTGCAGACAGCCACAGCCACTGCCCTGATGTTCCATTGGGGTCTGCTCTGCTCCACGCCAGCTCCCCACCACCCCCACAATGGGGCTAATTGGTGGTGGAAGAATGGGTAACGGGACTGCGGCTGACTCGCACTCTGTGCGTGGCACCCAAAGGCGCCTGCTCCAGCGGGGCATGCGTGCTCCAAGGGCCCATCTCTGTGAGCAGTCTGTCCACAGGAGATGGAGAATCAGCTCTGGGAGAAATGGCTCTGTGCAACAGAAGAAATGCATTGCACGATCTCATAGGTTTTTGCCTCTCAGATGCTCTCTGTCTTGAAGTGAAAATACCTGTCTTCCACCACTCTCGTTTTCTAGAGGGGGAGTGCAAAAGGACACCTGAGGGTATGCTCAAGAGGAACGGTCATGGAGTCCACACCGGTGCCAACAGAACTACGTACGTCAGCAGCTGGAAAAATGACAAGGTTATTTTAAGTATTCCTTCATTTTAAACTTTCTCTGGGTTTGGAACGGAGCATGTCTCACTATATCCACCCTTAAAAAGACACAGAAAGGAAAGTCATAACCTGAGAAGGATCAGACAAATGCTGCAGGCTCTTCTTCCACCTGAGAATCTTGTCACAGCCCAGTCTGAAGACTTGAGACACTTGGGGTCTTCAGATGTCCTGCTGCCTCCTGAGGCTCCTGCAAACGCACCAGTCATTGCTGGCAGTCAGGCCCTGGTGAAACACCCGGGCAGTGTGGCGCTGGTTGTGCCCAGCACGGCACAGCCACCGTGAAAGCCCTGCATGAACAGGCTGTGCACACATAGTGGGCTAGGCATGGCCCTCCTGCACATGTATATATGCCACACACACATCCCGCAATGAAACAGGGGAGCTCTGACCATCGACAGATACACCATTGTTTGGCTGCCCTTGGTTACTGAGTTCCTCAGGAATGAATTAGTAAGTATAGGAAAATTGCTTATTTTGTTGATGCTGGAGAGGAGACAGTCCTTGGAACGAGACAAAGAAGGGTCTGCAATTAGGAAACAGCATCTTGTGGCTTTATTAGATCTAGTCTGGCCTTTTTTTCAGTCTCTTACAAAAATATTGGTGCAATGATAAGAATTAAGATTATGGTACAGAAGTGCTTTACAGCACAGATTTAAATCCCCAGGCATGGCTTAGTGGCCTAGGCTGAACACATGAAAGACTGGCTCTGCCTTGATCCACAGAAAGAAATTCCGGAAATTTTAATCAACCCCTCAGGCTGTCAGGGTAGATGAGTTATTTGCAGGGCTGGGGACAGCAGTTCTGTGTTGCATAGATTGTTAAGATCCTGTGAGACTACCAGCAGAGGAGGGGTTTATTGGACACTGTGGCCGGCCAAAAACTTGCAAGCTCTTACCTGAAATCCTTGTAGAAGCAGGAACCTGTCTAAATCTGAAAGAATAGTCACCTTCCTCTCCATTATCATATCTGAATATGATAGCAGACTAAAAGGCAGCAATCTAAAAGGATATTGTAATGAAAGGAAATAATACTGTAAGCATAAACATTAACCGTTTTCTTTATCCTTCATCTCTCATTAAATGCAGATGAACGGTACTGAATGGTACTGGAAGGCTAGAACATCCTTCTGGGCCAGTTTATGAAGGCAAGTTCAAAGACAGCATGTTTCATGGGGCTGGAACCTACACATTTCCAAATGGAGCAAAGTACATTGGACCATTCAATGAAAACAAGTATGCTTGAAGTGGAAGAGCCGTGTAGTCTTTTCTGTTAGTTTTGATTTCGTAAGTTCTAAAGTCCAAATAAAATTCACCCAGCATGGGAGTAGGTTTCTTTTGCTACCAGTGAAACTTGCACTGGGTGTCTGAGATCGCTGATCCCAGTTGTATCCTTTTCATAAGATCAGTCAAAAGTCTGTGATTCATTCCCGGTCAGAGGTTTTCAAGATGGTTATTCCACCCATCCACTTTTTGTTACCAGGTCTCTGGGCTCAGGCAGAGTTCAGAGAAACAGAACAGTTCAGACGCCTTCTAGAGCTGTTGTTTCAAGCTGTCTGCCTACAGATGCATGCAGAAATACAGCACTGATTTGCGCTGATAGTTTGCAAAGTTTGTGTTTACTTATTTTTTGAGGTAAAGTACAAATTTCAGAGAGATGGGAAATGTGGAGGTTTAGTTTCATCACTCGGAATAAAATATTTTAGTGCCACTCATATAAACATCAGCTAAGTTCATTTCTTTTGAATAAGGGTATGTGTTTTGAATTGCTAAGATACCATCTTTTCCTAAAACAAGAAGTTGATACCCACTTCAAAATCCACAAAGCAGATTTAATGAGAAAATTAACCATAAAAAATGACATGAGAACATTCATGTTTATTCTCCTTAAATGACTTCTCTGTCAAATTTGCTAGGTTTGATTTAGGTTTAATTTTTCCCTCCCCAGTCCAGTATCTGAAATAAATCTAAAATATATGTTTGTTAATACAAATATATGTTTGTTAATACTGGTCTTTCATCAAGAAAAAAAAAAAACCTCTGTCTTTCCCTGCTGACCAAAAATAATAGCCACAATAGTACTAGAATGATGACCAATTCTATTTTTAAATGATCTGACACCAAGTAAAATATGTGTTACAGAATGTACCTGGATACAAAATGGGAACCTATATAATGAACTCAAATGTTTGGGGAAAAATTAAAGACATTTATTTCAATGCTTTAGAACAGATTTGAGTGAAGTTATGCCTCTATTACAGTGGCACGTTAAAATCTGCTACAGAGCTTCTGTCTTTTGCGGTCATATTAAATGACAGATGTGAATTCTGCATGAAGTCTAAACCTGTGAGTACTCATCACTTCAGTGAGGACATTCAGCAGTAGATGACAAATGTAGCTTTGCAGCCATTTTCTCTCAAAAATCTTAGGGTGATGCCTCTACTCTCTTCTGAAAATATAGCCCATCGCAAAGGGGCCAGCACAGTGCTTGTCACTAGTAGCTGATCTGTAGAGAAAACCAGCTGGTTCTGATTTGAACTTGTGATTTCTACTAACTAAAATGCTGATGTAGATACACCTTTGACAGCAGAGGTCCAATCTTTGCCGGCCACTGCTGTTTTCATCAAGGAATTAAGACTTCTCCTTTTTGACACTGGTTTGTGACTGTTAATACGTGCCACTCCCTGGCAGCCCAATGCAGGCTATTTTTGCCAAGTTTCAGGATTGCTGGTTTCCACCTACTCACACGAGACAGGTGTCAGTTCACCAGATCACTGCAGCTTCCGTGAGAGACCATAAATAGGCAGCACCATAGAAACTTGCTGTGACTGCTAGGCAGCTTCATTTTTTAAGGGAAACAAATCTCCAGTAACTGATTTTACAAGTTATTCTCCCCTCATTTGCAAGGGATGCTGATGCATAGACATTTCTTCTTTATAGCAGTTTTCAGATATAGTGATGAGCTTGATCACAGCTTTCAAAGATCAGCAGAAGTATGTCGTTTACGAGGACTGAATTCACGTGGCAGTTACTTTTTTTTTCCCCGCAGGAGGCTGTAAATCCTTGCACTTTGTCATAACACCACATAGCAGGATGGGGAAAGGGTAAGAGAGGATGGATTTTTACAGCAAGAAGATCACTCAGTAACTGGCTGCATACACTTAGACATCTTTAAGATGCCCCTAATGAAAGTCAGGATAAACTTCATAGGATTTAATCCCTGGTAACTTCAAATCATGACTGGGACTATTAAGTTTTTCCTGTAGGGGCTACACGCTGGGAGGACATTAGTACAAATACAGTTTTGCAAAAAAAGGAGTATGTTCCTTGGCTGTCTAACCTGTGTGCTTTGTAGGTCAAAACTTTTACAGGCTACAATGTGGGAGAAAGTTAAGGCAGGTACTTACACTACACTGGGAAGGTTCTGATTCCTGGCAATTTGCTTATCTGGGTAGTGCACGCATCACCGTGCTGCCACATACCGATCGCATTCGCAACAGGCTGGATTTATGTCATTACAAGATGGAAGGTGAAGGCGACTTTATAGATGAAAATGGAGCGGAGTGGCACATTTCATGGCTCGGCAGCAGTGGGACTGAAGCAGAAGTTGAAAATGTAGCTATTTGGCACAGACAGTAGCACAGGTTAAAAGACAGCTCTCTGACTGCATTCTGGGCTCCACAGCTGTGACCAGTTTTCAACAGGCATTGATTTCTTCAAGTATTAAAAATAACCCCTGAGGATGCATGTCTATAGTAAATAAAATTGTTATTTTTCTTTTCAGACTGATCAGCTGAAGTCTCCTAAGTGAAAACCTTAACAAAATGAAGTTGGATAGGGTGAATTTATAAGTGAAGCAGTTGATGGCTAGAATTCTTTTTTTTTATTTTAACTTGCCCTAGGAATGTCTTTCTCCCTGAGTTTCCAAAAAACCTGTCATCAACAAAGGAAGCCCATTTATGCCCAACTTTAGTAACTTGCACCAGAAAACAAACCTCACCACCCACAGAACCTTTTGGAAACGCAGGGCTCATCTCATCATGTTTACCCTAAGCTAGGTGTTGCATAGTGGGGTCAGGGCAGAGAGCAAGTGCAGCTGTAACATACTAGTTACTCCTCACAGGTCAAGCCCATAAACCCCAGGCTCCGGTACCAGACTGCTCAAGGACAGACCCCTGCCACGCACTAAAGCTGCTTTTCTCTGGGGCGGGAAGTAGATGGGAGAGCACACAGGGGAGACTGATCATTGCCACTGTCCCATCAGAAAGTCTAATGCAATGAAAAATCTATTTCTATTTTTGTTTGCGTTTGGTCATCAAAGGTCTCTGCACTATGAATCTAAATACTTTGCTTTACAAAGCAGAAAAACTGCTTTCTAGTTAAAAAAAACCCCAAACCGCAACATACCAGTGCTGTCACGAAAAAATGTGTGTTGAGTCTTTGCTTGCCAGATATTTAATGGAGTTTTAGTAAATACCTGTCCTTGCCTCCATTTGCAGACACAATGTACAAATGCTGTTCCTTCAGATGCGCCTTCAAATACTCATCTCATTTTGCCAGGATTTGGAAAAATCTTGGGCCCTGTGATTTCTTAGCAAAATGAAAAAACAGCACATTATCGGCAGACTGAAACATACTGGGCCATCTGAAACAAAAGCAGCTCATGGATCATTTGGCAATATAATGCCTTTCAGCCTTTTTTCTTAAAGCTGCCTGTAGGAAAATCTCTATTTATTTGAAATGTTTTGTTCATAGATTTGTGAAGCTAAATGTTTTTCTTTTTATTTATTTAAAAAAACCCCAACTTTCCTAGCTTGAGCTGTTTGTGGAACTCACAGGTATCTTTGACCCACCAAAAATGCACTTTCCAGCAAACTCCTTCAGAATTCTCATTTTATTTTGTTCAATTTTGTTGTGGTTTGCTCCTGAAATAGCCAACTCCAATAAAGAAATACAGTGTCATCTGTCCCTAGTCCTTGATTTCAAAGATAGCAGCATCTTCCACAGAGCTTCTGTTAACCTATGAGCCTGTCCTTTCAGCTCCTTTGCTAGGACTCCACATCACCACATTTATCTGTGCTGCACAGCAATTATACTGAATTAGGCTGTGCGGTTTTACATTTCAGGTTTTCTGCCTGAACCGTATCTTTGAAGCAGCTCTTTGTGTTTCAGGGAGAAATTAGTCTGCCTTTTGTTACTGTTCCTCCTCCTTTATGTCTCCCTGCTCTCACGCTTCGGAGTAACTCACTGGACTGGCTCAAACCTTTTCCTGACACCCCTGGCCTTGGGTTACCTGCATTCTCCCCAAGCTTTCTTGATGCCCTTCAGAGCAAAAAGCCCTGCAGGACCTTAGTGAAGAAATAGAGCAGGCATGGAGGGCTGCTGTCTCCCGCTCACCCACCTCCCTCCAAGCCCTTATTTATTTTTACTCAAAGGAAATTTTTCATGATCTAACAAGCAACAGAAAATACGCAAGTACTGGTGGTTGCTGCTCCCCTGCCCTGGCTACTTTGGCAACCTTGCTCTTGGCCCCTGAGTGAAAGAAGGGGCGCCCTCTTGGCCCTGGCATCCCTAGTGAGACCATGCACAGCAGGAGGCTGAGGGTGTCAGAGAAGGCGGGGAGGAGCTGGTCCCGTCTCCCTGTCCCCAGCTGCATGCTGCCTCACTTGGGTGCCATAGGAGGTACTTAGGAGCCTCTGAGCTCGGCAAGGTAGCGGAGACCACATCAGCACCTGGCTCTCACCACACGGCCCCCTCTGCCCATCACTTCACAAGGCTTCTCACCCTCCCTTCACAGCAGCGTGCAATTCTAATTAAAAAGGGAAAAAGTCAGTATCATCTTTTTCCAAGCGCACAGTCCTGGTTTTTGCATGGGGATGCAAGGATGTGACCCAAAGATTACATAATTAGAAGGCATTTGTTATGCTTGCGTTTCAAATCAGTGATTAGCATGTGACAGTCCCATCCTGGGAAACGTCAAGCCACCATTGCTCTCCTCTCTCTCTCCTTTCTTGCACAGTGCTAATTCCCAACTCTGGCAACCGCCAGTGCTGAAGGATCTTCAACTAGCCTGGGGTAAGTTTAAAATGTACTCGGCATGGGATGAAGAGTGGGATTAATAATTCCATTTTTCGTATTATTGGGAAAAGCTAGAGCTGTAGCTATTTAATGTTGCATGTGCAGCACATAAAATGGTATTTAAAGTATTTTGCATCTTCAGTGCCCACAGTTATTTCTAGCTGATTT